CCAGTATGCCTCAAATTGTTAAATTCCCCTATTATTTTGGACTCTTTCAATTCCTCAAAACGAGCAGATATGACCTCTAGAAATTGTGCCCATGTAATATTTCCACATTTATAGCTGAAATTTTGAAACCACTGTGCTGCTTTCCCTTCAAGGTGCATAGAAGCTAGGTTCACCTTTTGTTGGTCTGGGATGTTGGGAATAATTCTGAAGTAGCTATTACATTTCAGGATCCATGCCCTAGGGTTGTTCCCATCAAAATGGGGAAAATCAATTTTGGGAAGTGGGCTAATAACATGTGGGTTTGTTTGGTGGTCCTGCTGAAGCTTGAGTTTCTGTTGTTTAAAGGAGCCCTCAACTTTGGATTCATTGTATGGGCCAAAAATAGACTCCTCACCTTGTGCTTTGCTTTTGTCCATGTTCAGCAGCTGTAATTGCATCGAGGCTATTGTATCTGTTAGGTGCTCATATTTGCTGTTCATGCTTTGTAAATGAGACTGCATTTCTGTGTTCCCAGTTTTCCACTCAGAGCATAACTGAGCAATTTGATCTTGCTGCTTCATTTCAGCAACTTCCCTTTTCAGTAGTTCTGTTTGCACAAATTGATCCATCTTTTTCTGTGTTTCCTGCAGGTCTTTGAAACGCGTGCCCTCTGTCATGCCAGGACCTTGCTCGGGATACCAAATGTTAAGCCCGAGTGAAGATTTGTGAATTTTTTGTTAATTTTTATGTATTTTTATGTAATTTTGAGAGGAAGGATCATAAGGTAGGAGATGATAGAGAGAGAGAGAAAGAGAGAGAGAAAGTTAGGAAGATAGAGAGAGTTTGTTGCGCCAAATTCTGCCTCCTTTCACTTCTGAAACCGCATTTTACCCTAACACAAGGGTCCCACTGAATAATACTCTAGCAACTTGGGCCTAGAACAAACTCTAGCCCAATAAGAAAATAACTACAAATTAACTTATCTAACTTTGGTCCACAAACAGAAAACACATAAATGGTCCAATAGAAATATGAAAAACAGCCCAATCAATAATAGTGTTAAGTCTGTCCCTCACACGCGGCCTTCCCATCCTCTTCTTCATTCTCGCATAACCCTAATTTCCCAATTCCAGATCTCACCTCGTCGTTCATCTTCAAAACTCCTCATTTTTCCTCAAAGCCCTCGCCTTTTCCCCTAATTCCTTGGTCTTTTTTGTGTAAAGCCTCCGTCTTTGCTTTCCTGTCGGTGCAGTTCATGACAAGAAGCTAACATAATTGTCAAAAGATTAAATTTTTGTTTGGTTTTTCTTATTATTATGTTTGATGCTACTAAAGTGTAAGCTAGGCCGAGCTTCAGAATCGATTACAACAGTTAACAATATTGTAAAAGATTGAATTTTTGTTTGGCTGTTGTTATTTTGATTGGTGATGCTAGGTGTAACTTGTTTTGATTGACGTAATTGTAAAAACTTCATAAAAAAGTTTGAAATTTTGTTTGGTTGTTATGGTTATTTTGTCTAATGATGCTAAGTAGTGTAGCTGAGTTAGGTACACCGAGTTCCTGACTTAATAATCAGTTACATTTGATGAAACTGATTTCGAACCGAGATTTTAGCTAAAGTGTAAGCTAGACCGAGGTTCGAAATCAGTTACATCGAATTAGGACTTAATAATATCTCATTTATGTTTTATTCCAAAATCTCCACCTTTTGATCTTAAATCCTTAAAGCTGCTGAGGGAGAATGAAATTCATGGTTACATTTGTTGATTAAAACATTTGACCCTATTTCCGAAAATCAAACGAAGGCGTATACTCAATGTCATTACTTGTTGGCTTTTTAACCCATCAAATGAGCTAAAACATGCAGAGAAATCTGTTAATCTGATTTTTTTCCCCCTTTTTTTCTGCTAGGTTAAAAATTGATAATTTGAAGGGGAAAACAGTTGGGCTGTATTTCTCCGCATCATGTTCGGGCCATACCAGGGGTTCACCCCAAATTTAGTCGAGGCCTACAATGAACTCAAACAAGTTGACAAATTTGAGGTCATCTTCATATCTGCCGACCAAGATGACAAGTCGTTTAACTCTTATTTCTCTAAAATGCCCTGGCTTGCAATCCTGTTTTCCGATACAAAGACACGCGAAAAACTAGACAAGACGTTTAGTGTCGATTGGATACCTCATCTCGTGTTTTTGGATGACAGTGGGAAATTATTATCTGAGGAAGGCGTACGAATAATTCAAGAATACGGTTCAGAGTACCCTTTTAACTCTGAAAAGATCGAGCAGCTCAAGTTACAAGAATTTGAAGCTAGGAAGAACCAATCGCTTAAGTCATTGCTTGCATACGGGTCGAGGGACTATGTGATTAAATCCGATGGAGAGAAGGTTCGCTTTTTTTTATTGTTCATTTCAAGTTTGAGAATTTACGTGCTATCGTATAATCAATCTCTTGCGCTATTATACAGGTTCGAATTGCTGAGCTGGAAGGCAAAACTATCGACTTATACTTCATATTGTCCACTTACAAAAGTTGCATATCTTTCAACCAGAAGCTAGTCGAAACTTACGAGGGCTTGAAAAAAATTGGTAAGAACTTTGAAATTGTGATGGTACCCCTCGATAATGACGAGCAATCTTTCGTGCAACTTTTCAATCAACTGCCTTGGCTTTCGTTGCCCATGAATGACAAATGCCGTTCGAAGCTCGTCCGATATTTCCAGCTCGATGAGCTTCCGACAGTTGTCGCTATTGGGCCGGATGGGAAAACTATCCATCCGAACGTGGCTGATGCTATCGAGGAACACGGACTGAAAGCTTTCCCTTTCACGCCCGAGAAATTTGCCGAGCTTGAAGAGATTGAAAGGGCAAAAATGGAAGCACAGACACTGGAGTCCATTTTGGTTTCGGGCGACCTCGATTTTGTGATTGGAAAAGATAGGGTCAAGGTGAGCTTTTTTTGAAAGATAATCGTGTTTTGTTCATTTTTTGTCTTAATTGCATAATCGTCCCTGAAGTATAGCTTATATACGATAGCACCCAACTACTCTTTGTTATTTGGTCTGTTGAGTGTTAACCCATAAAAAGAAAAAAAGAACGAATATCTTTTTTCGATTACAAATAAGCCCTTGATTTGTATTTACAGTAGAATCAATCCCTTCTTGAGAATGTACGTAAGAGTAAAACACGAGGGGGTCATCTACAAATTCGAAAAAACGACTAGGCTATTTCCTGAATTACGCTAAACATCAGGGGCTTGTTTGAAATTTCTCTGTCTCCACAGATTCCGGTCTCGGATCTCATCGGCAAAACCGTACTCCTCTACTTCTCGGCCCACTGGTGCCCCCCGTGCCGTGCCTTCCTCCCAAAACTCATCCAAACCTACCAAGACCAAATGTCGAACAAAAGCCCGCTCGAGATTGTCTTCCTCTCGAGCGATCGGGACCAAGCCTCGTTCGATGAATACTTCTCTTCCATGTCGTGGCCCGCAACCCCGTTTGGCGACCCGCGAAAGCAGTCTCTCAGCCGCTACTTCAGAGTCCGAGGCATCCCTACATTGGTCGCAATGGGGCCGGATGGAAAAACCGTCTCGACTGAGGCCCGCGGGCTTATAATGGTCCACGGGCCCAAAGCTTATCCCTTTACGGACGAGCGGGTGAAGGAGATAGACCAAGAGTACGAGAAGATGGCAGAGGAAGGAGGGTGGCCCGAGAAAATCGAGCCCTGGAAGGGACTTCACGAACACGATCTTGTTCTTACCAAGCGTTTGGAGTTCAACTGCGACGGGTGCGGAGATGAAGGGCGCGTTTGGTCGTATTTAGCACTGTCAAACGGGCTGGGCCGGTCCGGCCCGCGGTTCAAACGGGGCGGGCCGAAATGGCCCGCATTTTTACGGGCTGGGAAATCCATAGCCCGTAGCCTGCCCGCATTAGCCCGCGGGCCAAATCGGCCCGCCCGCGGTTTTTTTTTTTACTTACTTTTTTTATTGTTATTATTATTTTCTTGCAATTTATAATGCAATTTTGGTTTTTAAATTCAAACTATAAAAGGAAAAAAAAAAACAGTGGGAATTGAATAAGAATTACTTGTACAACAACATTTTGATCTCGATGGTGACCATATTGTGATTGAATTGTGGTAAGTACAAAAT